CCCTGCCCCCTCCTCCCCCCCTCCCCGGGCTGCCCTGGCATTTCCTGCCCCCCCCCCCCCAAGCACAAGCCCCAGCCCTGGTGCCACCAGCCCAGCCACGGAGCTCCCTGCTGCCCCTGAAGGGCCCCCATCCCCTTCCCTTGCTGGTGGGGCAGGTGCCTCCCCACCTCCCCCCTACCCTGCCCCAGCACCTGGACAGCTTCCCCCAGCACCACCAAGCACCTGCCCCCCCCCCGACACAGGCACAAACACGCACATGGTGCCCCCTGTCTTCAATCGCCCTTCCCCTGCTCCTGCTAGTGGAACAGAGCAAAATCTCAGACACTGGTTCAGATTTCAAAAAACCACCTGGATGGAGATCAGATGATCCAAAAAGAGGACATGCTTGGGAAAATATGGATGTACGGTAACCCTAGTCATGGCACCCTTCCACAGTGGTGATGTTGATCTTAATTGTGATATAAAAGAGTGCAAGATCCTTGGATAGAAGGCAGGTGCAGTGTAAGTGAATGTGTTGTTTTTGTTAAGCAGATGGTTACTTCTGGTTTTTATTTGTCTTTTTTTTAACATTGTAAATTCAGACCAATAAATTGCAGAAGGAGGAAGAGCTGCGCAGACATGAGGTCCTGGCCTTGCAGACGGAGTTAGATTCTCGACAGAAAGAGCTAACAGTGCTGAATACCCAAGTGGATGAACTAAAGGATGAGCTGGTTACTCAAAAGCGGAAGCACACAGCAAATCTTAAAGATCTCACCAAACAACTTCAGCAAGGTTGAAATTTTTTCCAGCTCCAAACAGTAGTGTGCGTGCTAATATGGTCCCTCCCCCCCATGCTGGTAGAGAGGGGTTCTGGCTCTCTCCATTCATTGCTAAAGAACACTGTTTGCACCTCATCAACAGTAAATCATGATTGCACAATTTGAAATAGGTTTGCCTTAAAGTAAATAAACCCCATGTAACACAGCCATCTTACAACAAGCACACACAAACTCTTGGATTTTTACCTTCCCTGGTTATACCAGTTGTGATATTCTTCTGGGTAAATTTGGTTTATCTGAATTCTGCTATATTGTGTGTTCAGAACCTGCCAACGTTTTCCTAAGCCCTTACTGGAGCTGGGATTGTTTGTGGCATTTATTGTTTGATTTTTATCAAAGAGCTTTATCAGTTTAATTATGGTTGTAGGAAGACTGGTGAATAATTTGTGTGCAAAGTAAGTGAAAAACATTAATAGTTCAGAATTGCATCCGTTCCGAATGCAGTTTGATGATAATCACATGTGCATTTGGAGTTTGCATGGAAACACAGCTTTTGTCTCGTCTTCATATTGTGCAAGAGGGAATTCTGTTTCCCTTGTGTATGCGTGTATGAACCTTTCCTCTTCACATGCATTTTCCCCTTTTTACTGTAGCATCATTCAGCTCCTGGGAGGAACAAACTTGGCTGTCAGCTACCAGGAACAATGACAACTAGGATAACACTGATTCCATAGAACAGAGCTGTGTTATGTCCTTCATTAGTTATTTAAAAAGCATGTTGGATCAATAGTATGTGTCATTGTTCCAAGACTGTGTAGTACATGGAATTCTTTTCTCACCCAGAGCTGGGGCAGAACAAACTAATAAATGTTAGACCCTACTTTTTCTCAAAAGGGTTCAGGCACTAGTATTTTGAAAAATGCCTGAATTTCTCTAAAAGTTGGAAGCTATATACTGTGTTGGGTTAAGGTTTATCCTCATTTTGGTAACCCTCATCATCTTTTACTGTTAGCACGAAGAAAACTGGAACAGATTGAAAATGGTAGTTATGATAAAGAAGTCAGCAGCATGGGAAGTCGTTCTAGCTCATCAGGTAACTTAAATAGTGGTTTGAAGTTTTTACTGTTTTAACAAAATAGTCTCCTGTAAATACTCAGAGATACAGTATTGCACCCATTTGCCCGATGAAAGCCCTCAGGTCTGTTTAAAGTTTGGTCTCTTGTCTCCTTCCCCCTCCCTTCTTTTTTTGTGTCTCGGTACATAGACCTGAGAAGTGCAGTACCTGCCACTATAAAGTATCTGGAAATATGTGCAGTTTGAAACGGCTCCATTTTTACTTGTTGCATAATTTACCTGTGAAATTCACTGCCATGGGATACTATTATGGCTGAGAACACAATACCTAGGCCTCTCAATATAAGTGTAGCCATATGCTTTGATTACAAGAATTAAACAATAACCATGAGAGCTTGCTCCTACTTTTTTCAGTTTTTATTGCATTGATGTTTAAAAATACCTTAGACCCCAAATTACACATTACACTTAAGGCGTGAATAACTAGTTAACTTCATGTTAAACTGTGTGTGACCCAACAATACATTCAGTTAATGGGATGATAAAACAAGGACCAATAGCAGTTGGTCTAATAAAAGATAAGTTGCAAAATTATTCCACAAAAAATGTGTAACAACTTTGTGGCTTGGTCTTGTCACACCATTAATTCAGTGTGTGGCCAGGTCCTGCATGGCTGGGATCCCTGTTAGCTGATAGGGCTCCCAGCCACAGGGATGTACCACACATTGCCCTGGCTGTGAGCCCTGCAGCTGGCACGGGACGCTGCTGCAGTTGTGAGTCTCCTTGGTGTCGGGCTCACAGCTGCAGAAGCTTGCTACTTGTTGGTGCAGGAGGGGCCCGCAATTGCGATCTTGGGCTCCCCCTGCACTGGCAGTAAGGTGTAATTGGATCTGATGCTAGATCCCATAATCACAGCTCCTGCCAGGCATGTGTGGATCACGCCTCCGATCCTACTGCGCCTTTACCTGAAAGTCTAGAGGGGCTCTTAGATGATTTCCTTAAACTTAGTCAAAAGAGATATTAGCGGTTGGCTCCAACGTGGTTTGATATTTGATACTGGGTAAATGGTAAATCAGTTAATGCACTTAAAGGCCTAGGCAGACAAGGTTCTTTGGGTGAATCTGATATCTTTTATTAGACCAACTTAAATAGTTGGAAAACAATTATTAAGCAAGCTTTCGGGTTCAAAAGCCCGTCGTCAGGCTAAGGAAGTTTCTGCAGTTGGTGTGCGCTCTTCCTGGATGGAATGAAGAGTAAAGAAGCCAGGGGCTGGGCTGGTTTACTTTTCATTCCATCCAGGAAGAGCACACACCAACTGCAGAAACTTCCTTAGCCTGACGAAGGGTTTTTGAACCCGAAAGCTTGCTTAATAATTGTTTTCCAGCTATTTAAGTTGGTCTAACAAAAGATATCAGATTCACCCAAAGAACCTTGTCTGCCTATGTCCTTAGACCAACACGGCTACAACCTACACCCCTTAAAGGCCTAGTGTACTTATGCAGAACATTGTTTTATTATTTTTAGCGCTAAGATAATTTTTTGCCTTCAGCATCTAGGCATTAATTTATTTGATCAGTAACAGATAGTATTAAATTAGGTTGATTTATATAAAAAATTACATGTTCTGTCAGCATGTGGATTTGCTGTATTGAGCCTTTTTTCTTTTTACTCTCCCCACTGTTTTTAAAGTTGCCTCAGAGCTTTTCAGGATCCCTTCTGTCATTAAGTAGGAAGAGGCTAAGTTTGGGACACTCGTGTTGGAGATTTGCTGGTCTACGCTGAAGTTTCATAAAGCTTTAACTATATCAGTTTAGAACCTTATGAAGGTAAAACCAGTCAGCCCCTCCTGCTGGGGCAATAACACCAGTAATACATTTATGGAGATATAAATATATCCTTTACATCAGTACAGTTGTGCTCATCGTAAGGAGTTTTACCACTTTCTGAACAGATGCATTAAAATTATATGAATACAGTGGACAGGCAAACCCAGTAATGCCTAAATGAGATCAGCATTCTGTGAAAACAGTATTTAATCAAAGTCCAGGGCTGCTGCAAATGGTAGTGATTTATTGGATGGTGTATGTGGAGCTGGGTGGAACAGAAATACTTTATTTTCTACTTTGGAATTCTTTAATGAGCACATGACTGCATTGGCAGGTTCCCTTAATGCTCGAAGCAGCAATGAAGATAGGTCGCCTGAGAATACTGGCTCTTCAGTAGCTGTGGATAACTTCCCAGAAGTGGACAAGGCTATCCTGATTGAGAGGATAGTCAGGCTACAGAAGGCTCATGCTCGGAAAAATGAAAAGATGGAGTTCATGGAGGATCACATTAAGCAACTGGTGGAGGAAATCAGGAAAAAAACCAAGTATGTACCCCACTGGAATCATATGGTCTTTGGTGCTTGGCTGCTGCATTGTGACTTTGAATCTTATGTAAGACAATTAATTGGCTTAAAACAGAGAAAAGTTAGGATAAGATAGCTGCAGCCACAGTGTACCTCAAAGATCATAGTTTTTACCTTACTATTGTAAAACAGTTCTAGAAAAAGTGACCAACTAGGAGGTTGTGGATCGCTATCATGGTCCATTTACTTTGTTTTTAATTCATTGGGATTTAATTTTTTAATTCATTGGGCTGGGATTTCTGCAGATTTGCGAACTGCTGTTATACCTGAATGCTTGCCTAGGTCTATTCTACCCATGCACTTGGTCCAATAAAAGATATCCCCCACAAAAATTCTTGCCTCTTGCATAATTCCTAGTGGGGGCCTTTGTGTACAGTAAAAATAACAGATAATATTTGATATATATTGTAAAAAATATCAGATCTAAAGGCATATACTTAAGAGTGTGATATACTGAGCTCTGGTTATGGTGCTGCTTACAGGGTAGGCTTTTCCTGTGGGGTTGCCCAGTTCAGTTATAGCTGGTCATAGAGTGGAAGAAGTTATATGTGCTGTCTTTTTTCTGGGGAATTGCTTTTTGCTGTTAAACTGATCCCTTATGAAATACGCCCATTTATTATATTGGTGCCTCAAATGATTGTAAGCTCTCTGCGGTAGGGATTCTGTCTATTAATTGTGCATACTCAGTAACCTTAGGGCAGTAATTCCTGATCTGAGTCAGAGCAAACTGGTCTCTGAACCAATGGATAGCAACTTAGTGAATGAACAGTTGCTTAATAGGTTTTGTTCTCAGTATGTTGTTCTGTGTCTGGCCATTTAGTGTACGCTATTCACACTGTCCTCTGAAGACAGAATTATTGCTATTTCCTCATGGGTTTTCCTATGGCATGTATCATTAGGATATCTGAGTGCTTGACACTTTTAGGATACATCTCTGCGTGTCTGAGATGGGAGTGGGATGGTATTCATCATTCTGTAGGTGGCAGACAGAGGCACCGAGGATTTCTGGTTGGGTGTCTTCCCCAGATCCGTACTTTCTCAGAATAGTCAACACCGTGTAGCACACCTAAGACTTGAAGCGCATTTTTTTTACCTCAGTCGGGTAGGAGCTCTCAGCACTGCTGAAATTCGAACTCTCAGGTCTCAAGTTGTGAACTAGAAAACGAGGCGCGAACAATTGGTAACATCTTTGAAAAGTTTAGTTTAAGTGACTGACCTGTGTGACAGAGGCATGGGCAGAATCCACATCTCCAGGTGGGCATCTAACCGATTTAAGCATGAGCCCATCCTTTCTCTTTCTGTCATCCCCTGCATCATTTGCTGCTCCCCTTCTAGCATTATTGATGTAAAGGTCTTCCAGGCAGTCTCCTTTCCACGGCTCTGATTGATTCCTTCCCAGCACAGGTACATCCCCTGCACTGAACGAGGTAGCGATCCTGTGGACAAACAGTAGGAATGTATTACTAAGAGTTGTTTCATAATGTAAATGTTGAATTCAAGTTGTGACGTTTATCTGCTTGGAAGCTTTGTCACATCTCCTTTAGTTGTTTTTTTGTGCAAATAAAACTGACAGAGAGATGCTTTCTGGAATTGCTTTAGACCGTAGTCAAGCTATGTCTCCAAGAACAGTTAAAAGTACAAATCTTGTGTGCTCTTTGGTCCTTTGCTGAAGTGAAAGCCTTCAGTCCTGGGCTTGGGTTTTGTCACTAGGAGTGCTTGGGGCGAAATCCTGACCCCATGTAAGTCAGTAGGAGATCTGTTAGTGACTGCAGTTAGGGACAGGATTTTGCTCAAGTTTCTTCTTATGGGTGAGCCCTACAAACTGTTATGTTGGCTGATTATTCACTGTTGATGCATTTGTAGCTAGAAATGGGCTTCGTTGTCAAAGTCCTTCCCCTCATCTGAAACACCTTTCTGAGCTGGGGCACTTATATCAACCATGGTTTTGCTCATCAGGTTTACAGACACGTCATTTTCTTCAACCTAGATATAGTTTAAGTCTCCCTGAAACAAGCTAATATTTGGAGCAGAAGTCAGTCTCTGCAGTTGCAGTGCATTGTGATATCTGTCCTCATTTTCTCCAGGATTATTCAGAGTTACATTCTGCGAGAAGAAGCTGGAACCTTGTCCTCAGAGGCCTCTGACTTTAACAAAGTTCATTTGAGCAGGCGTGGTGGGATCATGGCGTCTCTGTACACGTCTCACCCTGCCGACAGCGGGCTCACATTAGAACTCTCTTTAGAGATCAACAGGAAACTCCAGGCTGTGCTAGAGGATACTTTACTGAAGAACATAACACTAAAAGTGAGTACCTAGGCCTTTCGTTTGCAGTTCTCTAATACCAACTGCCTTAAATAGATGCAGACTACCAAACGAGACAGCACTGAAGGGCAGAGAAAGTATACTCAGATAGGTCATGCCACCTGATTTCTGTACAGGTCAGCATTTTAATTTTGTATGCATAACTATGAAGATTGAGTATGCGTCTTACTAGGCTCATAACCAACTAGTAGGTAACGCATCTTGAAAGTGCTGCCTGTCTTATTTCATAAGTGTGTTTTTACATATTTATTAGTTTGAGCTTTGAACTGAAGCAATAGCTTCTAGAGAAGCCTAGTGGAATCTTGAAATCTGAGGAAACGACTTTATCCTCCCTGGCATCGGATTCATTATTGACGGGGGCTTTACTCTTCCAATTTTTCCATGTTGGGCACAAACGGGGCATTTTCAGAGAGCAATAAACCCAAGTCTTTAACTTTGTTTTAAATAGTAATTTTTAAATTTGCGAGCAAGTATTACACTCACTAATGTTTGCCTTTCCTTCCCTATCCTTTCTTCACAGGAGAACCTTCAGACACTTGGAACAGAAATAGAACGGCTCATTAAACACCAGCATGAACTGGAACGGAGGATGAAGCAAACGTAACTAGAGTTTTTATGGAAAGACCAGAACAAAGATGCAGAAAAGGCAGGTGCTACAGGCTGTCAACTTAAGCTTCTCCTGGAAATTGAGTGTGCAACAGTTCAAAGATCCAATCTTGCAAAGCTTTTAAGTATGCAAGCTGTTCGCTTTCTCAAGAGAAGGGGTCTGTAGACTCGGGTTGTTTTGCCTGTTTGATGTTAGCCAAAGGCATTGCTGAGCTTCACTATACACTACGTTCTTCTGTTGAACTGTACTCTGAAACGACATCCAAATGCTTTGCGGTGTATACTACATGTAGAGTAAGTTTCAATGAGATTTTAATTTCTGCCCTGTGCAATTAAATAGTCTGCTAATAATGGAGCTTCAAAAAAAAATTAAACTGATTTTTTTTTTTTGCTGTTGGACAGATCCAGTGCTGCTGAGCTTCAAGGGCTTTCAGACAGATTCTTCCCTACCCTCTATAAATGTTTCTGATATTTAAGTTGATTAAGTAGTTTTAATGTATGCATGAGAGAGGTTTTGTTCTAAAGCTTTGTGTTTTTTTTTTGTTTTTTAAATTAAGGACATGGTATTCCATAAATTACCATTCGGAAAAAAAGTTTAATAGCTTGGGTATTTAAAATGAATTGACCTGCTTCTTGTTTTTTTAAAGCCAGCTAGAAATTGAAGAATGAAAAACTTTTGTTTCTGCTGCAGTTATTTGGCAAGTTTAGTTGATATAAACTCAGATTGCACAAATGGTTAGGTGCATACATTTAAATAATTTTGAACTCAGGTAATTTAGTTTTATAAAATAAGTTTTTCCAGACCTTCAGTGTAATTAGCATAATTTTTAAAGTATGGGTTGTTTGCTATGTGTATCAAATCTTCTCTCCCCCAGTCCAAGATAACCAATTAATTAAAAAAAAAAATTTCTGAGCACGTTGTGTTTGTCACATTAGTTATAAGTATAGGCCAGCCAGTAAGATCGAGGTGAGACATGAGGTGTGTGTTAAGTGGTGAGTTGCAGCTTATTGGCTGAACTGTAACTGCAGCACAGAAATCTGTGCCAGATCTTGAACTTTACTGATGTGTGAAGTATTAAACTGTCAGAATGACACGGGGTAAGATTCCAGGGGATACCTCCATCCTGCTTTGACAGGGTGATGGGAAGCTAGCCCTGCAGTGACAACTTTAAAAGTTGAGTCTCAATGTTATACTCATGCAGCTTAGCATCAGGAAAAGTAATTTACCTGGACTGGAGTAGCTCCACTCCTGCAGTAAATGTATATTTTTATACATTTAGTGCTTGCTTGATCAAAATTCAGAGCCAGACCAGTTCATCGTATAAATATATGAAGTATATACTGTATTACATATTTGCACTTAGTGCTCATGTACAATAAAAACCCTTTACGTATTAGTTATTTAAATTTGAAAGGACAGCTTTTTTAATGATGAAAAAACAAACCCAAATTTTCTACCCTCCTCCCCACTTGTGTCATTTGCAGAATTGATCCCTGGTTGTGTCAAAACACAGGGTAAAACTTACTAAAGCATCTAAGTGGCTTAAAGCACCTAACTTCCATTTTCAGAAGCCTCAGTGTCACTTAAGCAGTAGAAGATTTTACCCCAAAGTACTTGATTTGATTGATGTGAATCAGTTAGTGAGACTGCCCCGCTGGTTAGAGATGAGCATGCACATACATATTTACAAAATCAGGCTCAGCTTGTTGTTTAGGGTTGCTCCTGAGTAGCTGGCGTTTTTACTCCCCAACAATAGAGGTAGTAAAGAGCTAATGATTTCCAATAAGGAGAGGGTCATGTGGCCCCTCAACCCTTAATGCTGGGGGATGTCTTCTTTCCCAAATTCCAGGGGCAGTGAGAGCAGTTCTGCAATTTTGTTGTGACCCTTAGCCAGCCCAGCCTCAGGACTGTATCTGCTGCGCGTATACAGACAAACTGTTCAGGACAGCAAGGCAAAGAGGGCAGCGGCTTCCCCTGGAGCAGCTGGCATACGGTAACGTTGTCCACTCTTACTCCACAGTAAGTTAATGTTATACTGGAGAAACTTACCTTGGAACAAAACAGGTTTAAGTTTCCCTGATTTAACTTGTGCTTACTGCAGAGTAAGAGCAGACAAATGGCTAATTATCCTAGAATAGCCAGTAAGTCCCTGCTCCCTTTGAACTTGTTGTTCGTTGTCTGTCCACACTCTGAATGTTTGTGATGGGAAAGTGGGTATGGGGCAGTGAAAGCTAGCCTCCTGAGGTGAAATCCTGGCTCATTATGAAATCAGTGAGTTTTACTGTTTCGTTCAAGAATGCCAGGATATCGCCTGAGGGGCAAGGTAAGTTTGTACAACTGAATTTTAGGCCCTCTGAGACAGTATTCAGGAATAAAGGTTGTGTGTCCAAACATAGCTTAGCTCTTGTTTGTTTTGCATTTTTATACTTATATGCCTGTTTGGCTTATTTTCCTGTATTAAACTGATTCCCATATTTTAGATTTTGGAAATAAGCTCACTCCATATAGTACCTATAACCGTTTAATGTATGTTCTTCAGCTGTTTAATATAAATGAAGAAATGTGATGCAGATGGGATAAGTGCAATGATAGTGCGGAAATTCTTCGTAGTGCTTCTTGACATCACTCCATTACACTTCTTAAATTATTTTAGCACACTAGTTATCCTTTTGTCTTGCTTAAAAATGCTGCTTTCTGTCTGTGACTCTACAATTCTAGGGGTTTTTTATCTTTGCTTGTGTATGTCGTTTGCATAAGCAGCCAAAACCTCCTATCATTCACCACCTTCAATTTAAATAGACCAAGATGTTAGAAATAAAGCCACAGAGGGGAAACGTCTTGACATCTTCACATAGGCACATCTTTGGTCTTACATAAGAAGTTTTTCTTGACTGTACTCATGTCTGTTTTCTCTTATGCAAGAAGATGCTAATGACTGGAAAAATGTGTTATCCTTATGAATGTTGTCAGTGACTGCTTTTGTTTTCAGGGTACAGATCAAGAGTCAGATAGATGGCTTCACTTGGTTCAAGGAACACGAATGCATCCTATAAAAAAGAGTTGAAACAAGAACACTGCTGCTTTAGTAAGGGAATAGTTTAAATCACAGAGGAAAGTCGTGACTGTAGACAGCCAGCCCCCAAGTCCTACGCATCAGTGGTTCTGCTTAATCCTTACTTCGGGAACATAATGGTTTACATTACAAGGTTTTGAGGTATACTTCTGTGAGGGTCATGAAGAAGTAGGATAAATTTATTCTTATTAAGTAATAGTCTTAAAACTATTATGTATTTTAATAGTTAAGTATTTTAAACCTAAGTGTCCCTAGTAAGTTGGGGCTTCTATTTTCAAGAGTCTGAAACGACTGTCCATTTCTCATTGAAAATTACCAAAGTGGGACACACAACCTTGAAGGCTCTTCTTGAAAATAGGAGTCTAAGCCAGAAGCCTTTGGCTATTTACATCCTACAGAATGCTTCACCCACTTCTGAATATATCATTCTTTTGTAATGTGTATATCCCACATCCGGAAGTACAGGCCACACTTCCTACAGAAACTCTGCTGACCTTTCCCTGTCATGGAAAGGCCTCAAATGTGTTCTAAAAAGCTAGTGGCTCCCCTGGATATCCTAGACCCTGGTGATGGTTTTCTTATTATACCCACTTAATAGAGACTCTTACTTCACATAGTCTTCTGAAAGCAGTGAGATCTGGCGTACATTCCCCAAAAATGTTCTAATCCAGGTCTGTTCAAAGTGTCAACCTTTTAAACATGTCTGTGTTGCATCATAATTGTTCTTGCTGTGTTCCTACTGGAGAATTCAGACCTCAACTTCCCATTTGATCTTAACTGTTAAATCTCTACCTGTATAGGCCACCATGCTCTGCGAGGAGGTTCACAAAGGTACAGGCCTTATTTATGGTGTGGGGAAGAGGCTCCTCTTCAGAACTTTTCTTTTTTTTACTATTGCACAGCTCTGATTTCTTACCAATAGGTGGCGCTAAAAGTCAGACTTTCCAGGCCTGTTGAAGAGTTGAAAACTTCGCCAAATAAAGAATTTCCAGCTGTCACAGATGGTGGAGAGTGGTATTAGGTATTTTCCAAAATGGAAGGGGTTATTTACTTACCCACTTTGTGTTCTGATGGTAAAACCATGTTTAATCTTCCAATATATGTATGTATGTTGTATGAATATACACATAGTGACTCTTGATTTGATTAACTTTGTAGATATTTGTTTCTGTATAAATGAAGTTTAAGACATCACTATACATTATGTATATATTGTACTTTTGAAATAATAAACAGACGTGTGAATGCTTGTTTTTGGATATGTCATGCTTGATATACGTTTAAATAACTAGTAGGCAGACTTTGAGTTATGTCTGCACTCCCCACTGTGGTACAAGCTAGGTCTGGGAGTATAAATTAGCCTACACAAAGCTCCTGGCTACCGTGGCTAGAGTGTTTCCAATACCTGAGCTAGCGCAGGTGTCTGTGCCGTACCACATGGTGCTCCTGGTAAGACCTGGTCTGAAATGGCACTTGATAACCCACAGGGGCTTGGATAAATCACTTTGTCGTAAGGGATAAAGCTAGACACATGCACCCAGTGCTGGTGTTTACTTATCACCAAATTTTACCATTTCTCTTTGCACCTGGTAGTACCTTACTCTAGAGTAGCCCTATTTAACAGAAGTAGACATAAGGTGGTGCTGATTATGCATATGTGTGCATGTTAATTAACAGCCAATTCTGACAGTAAAAATAACCGCTAATTTTAGTTATCCTGCCTCACTTCTTCCCTTGGAACAAAGAATGTAAGATCTAATGAGCAAAATTGGAAGCCAAACCAAACGTGTTTGTATTGATGACCAGTCAGTGCTTTCTGATGACCTGTCCCTGCAACTCTGTCATCCAGGTACATCCAACTTCATGCACAGTTGAGGCATGTCTATCTGGGAAGATTAGACTAAAGGCTATTGACCCACACATTTCTCATTAATGGTTGTACTGAAATCAGTGGCTATGGCAACTCCTGCTACTAGATCTATTTTTTCTGTTGCACTATATAAACGGAAGATGGCAGTATGCCTTTGTACACTGCAGATGAACTCTTACTATCTAGCAGCAACACCAAGAGAAATCAAGATTGTGTTCAAGTTATATTGTACTTGAGCCTTCAGAAATTGGAAGCAGAATTTTTCCTGCTGCAACTGTAGGAAGACAAGCACTGTAGAGGATCATGCGCTGCTGTAATTAGTATCGTAAGTGTTTAAAACTCATTTAAAAATTCATATTGCATAGAGAAAATACAATATGCCCAGTAGCAGGTCACACCTTTGCATGCTTTGTAGTTGTGCCCCTGTGCTTGACAGATGCTGAATTCAGTTTAAGTTGTGCCTATGTCCCTTTTAACTGTAATATTAGAACAGAAAAATTGAGACACTTAGATTAGTGCAAAATGGCACCTTGGAGTATCTGTTTCCATTGTCAGAAGTGGTGATTCCTAAACCCTGTCAGAGCAAGCCTGGCAGGGCCAGCTGAGCTGCTAGAGAGCCGATCTGGGCCTCTGTCTGACCTTTACAGACTGACCTACCTGCACAGGCTGGTGATGAGGAACACAGACGGAGCGCTTGTGTCTTATAACAGGTTTATTAGCAATATACAAGCTCCGTTTTCATAGATTGCAGATTGAAGTGGCGCTAAGAAAAATGGAGGTGGGGTGCTGTTTCTGTTCCTACTGAAACTAATTGCAGACTTCTGTCTTCATGGGAACTGGATAAAGGGCCCTTGGGGTGTTTTCTTACTGTTGGCTCGACAGACTTGTCCCAAGCAAATAGAACTTGTTTATCTATCATCTCTTCCATCCCCTCCACCAGTAACAGGCATGGCACGAGCAAAGCTGGCAATGTAGCTGCAGATTTGAGAGACGGACAAACTCTCTTCCCACTGGCTCTGCAAGGAAACAGCAGCAACTTAACTGAGACCTGGCAAGGAATTAAAGACCTCCAAGTAGTAATCTTACCTCTGCCAGTTGCTGTGTATTATCCCTGTTTTACAGGTGGGAAGTGAGATGCAAATATATTCCTACTTTATAAGAGATTTTACAGTTGTGTTAATGGAGAGCGTTTAAAAGGTATAAAGCAGTATACTTATTTGTGCTTAAACTGCCAATGTAATATCAAAGCTATTGGGGAATAAATCCAGAACCCTGCAATTTGACCCCAAAGTAACAGGGTTAAAAAATTATTATAAGCCTCAAAAGCTGGAATAGTCTGAATTGTTAGGTCACACTATTACACTAATGCATGAAAAAAAATCTTGAAGCAGGCATGTTGGGAGGATGTGGGGGTTGGGTGGTGGGAAGTGAATTATACCAGATAGCCTTGTTTATCTGAATAAATTATATTCAGCTAATGTGTTATATTCAGCTAAATGTTCTGTTTACTATGTCCCTGAGCATCCTGTTCTGAGTGGCATGAATTTGGGCAGCATTTTAGCCGTCAATGTTGAAAGGTAATTAAATCTGAGTACTGCCATTGATGTTAATGAGAGTGCCCACATGCTGAAAACTAAGTGAAAGAGGGCCACACCTGAGACAGCTGCCTAAGTTCTGGTCTGAAGGTATAGGACGTATTCCTGAAGCGCACCTATGCACATGCCCGATGCCTGCTTTAATTAGGACCCTTCAGAGTAGACTCGATTAAGCAGGCTTGAGTAATCAAGTAGGCTCGATTAGTCTGTTGGAGCATTCAAATTAAAATGTTCCAGCAGCCTCGGCGTCACGTTTCAAAATGGCGTTGGGGGTGCTCTAACAAAAGCTTGTCGAACATGCTTTAGTTACAGCGCCCCACCACCGTTTTGAAGCACGGGATACTAAATACATGAGACGCTGTGGGCATTTGAATTAGAGTGGCTCGAGAGAAAGAGAGAGCGGCTTTAATTAACCTCCCTCTTTTTCACTTATCCAGGATCATGTGTAAAGATGTCTGAAGTTCCTGTGCAGTCTGTGAGACTCTTTTAAAGGAAAAAACATTAACATATTCAAATGGATGGGGAGTCTGGACAGTCTAACCCGAATTCTCTCCTTACTCTATCGACAAGAAGCTTGATGAGCACAATGGTTGGACTGGGAATGCAATGCAAGACCCTTCTCCTCTGGACCAGTGGTCAGTCTTTAACTTAGACATTAGTTATTGAGGGCTTGTCTGCACTGTAGAAGTGATTTAGGAAAACAGTCGCATGCAGTCCTGAGAATTTGGCATTCAGAGTCTGACCGAACAGGAGGCGGATGTACAAGCAGAAGAGCTTCATGCACACGCGTAGCACAGGAAAGGAGAAAGACATGGATAAACAGTTGAGCTGATTTGGCTTTTGACAATTGTAGATGAGCCATTGAACCACTTCCTGGAAAAATGTTCAGTTTAAATTAAGTTTTCCTTCCTTGTGGAATGGGTGAAGTTTGAGAAGAGAGAAGTGATGAATTTGTCAGTAAGCCAGAAGCAAAGCTACCAAATCACATTTTTTCATGAGAATAATGTTAAGCCATTTCCTTTGCTAGGGGCTTTCATTTCTGTCTTCCAAGGCTGCTCTCTGACAGCAATGCACAATTCAGCTGATTGAGATGGATACATTTATCTCTTTAAATCTGAAAATAAGCCATTTAGATGGCAACATGTGCTTTCTGAAACATGGTACCCTGTGCTGGAATTCACATGGTTTATAGTATGTCTTTGATCAAAGGGCAGCCAATGC